TTTTTAACTGGGTACGGGAGGCATTAAATAAAAATTACATTGGCTTTTTTTTTTTTTTAAGCATTTCTTGGGGACTTCAAGACGGCATTAATGAGATAACATGGCCATTGTTAGGGGTCTCCATGCTTCTTGCTGCATTCAACACCCCTCACACACACATTTTGGGATATTGCCCCCCTTGTTTTTTAAGTGGCTTGAAATGCAAAGTAAAATGAGTTGTGTTTATCAGTTTTAATGCATATTAGTCAAAAAAACTAAAGTGCCACTTACTGCATTATGAACCTGGTGACCTCTCAGTACTGCAGTACTGTTATGTAGTGTAATGCTGGTCACCCAACACTCTGCTTATCTTGTGACTGAATGGTGTGTACCTGCCTACACACCAGCAGCAAATCATTATCAGATGGCTGCATTGCATCCTGGAACACTTGTTTTAAAGAGAGAATTACTTTTTTTAAAATCTTTTAGTGAATTTGTATCTCCAAATGCTTATAGGGGGGTTGGGAGTTTCTAAAAATGCTAAGCTAAGCTGAGCTTTAAATGAAAATGACTCTGCTTCACATATTCTTATGCCAGTGTTTAGGTTCTGTATATTTTATTCTTAATACATAGGGGTGTATTTATAAAATGTTCGGACTGCCAACGTCTGTGTTGGAGATTCGCATTCGCGCCACATTTTGACTACTCGATAGAGGCAAGGAGCATAGGAATGTTCTACGCTCCTCGGCTCCATCTAGTGCCCATAATGTGGTGCAAATCTACAGCATAGATGTTCACAAAGTGAACAGCTCTGCAAACGTTCTATAAATACACCTTTTTAGTGTCATTGCTTTTTGGAACTCAACAGTAATGTCTGCAGCAGAGGGACAATAATGCTGTTACCCACCAGAGCCAATCAGGTGTCTTTTTTTCCCCCCTGGAATTTGATTAGTTGTTACAAGAACTCCATTAGTTCTAGTCCTAGAGACTTCTTTTTGAAAACTGGAGCCATTGCCCATAGCAACTAGTTAGGGCTCATCTTTAAATAAAATAAGAATTCTTTATCACAATGTATATGCTTCATAGATGAGGTCAGCGATGGCTTGTTGGTGTTTCAGTCTACAAAGAAATGGCGGGGTGTGGGGTATGGCCGATTCTTTGTGTCCTCATTTCACTGAGCTGCCATAGTTTCTGTATGTTCCTTCACCAAGCCCGAGCATGCACCAATCTACCCATCAGTGGCTCCTGTCTGCTAACTGCCTTGCCAAACCCGGCTCACTCAGCTTCTGCCGCTGCCCCAGAGGAGAGGGAACCCTGTGTAGTCTGCTGACCACCCACCCTTCCTGCTTCTCACCTCCCATCCCTTAAAATTTCGTACTAGTGTCTCTGTAACTCCTTAGTGTTTAAATGCTACAATGGTGTCCCCCTTGTGGATTGTGTGGCTCGTGTCAGTTTACATACAGCTGCTTGTGACCATACACAGACATAACCAGTAGATGGCGCTACAATTACTGGCAGTCACTCTGTAGTTATTAAAGCGAAACTCCAGCTAACAGCTTAACATGGTTGAAAGACACATATATGCACTATTCTACCTATAAAAATGTTTGTAAATCTGTTCAGCCTGTCCGGTGATTAACACACCCCTGTTAGACTAAATAGACAGGAGGGCGAAGATATTTCCTTCACCCTCCTGTCCCCAGACTAGAAAAAGGTGTAGAGAGAATACAACTGCCACACAAAAAGTTTAGGAGTCAAAGAATGTTTAATCACAGAAGTCCAAAGATGACAAGCCTGCCCATTTCGGGGACTACAAGGTTCTCCCTTGATCAGGGATTTAACAGTTGGTTTTGGACTTTTACAGGTCAATAAAGGTTTAATCAACTACAAAAATTGGCTTCTTTATTTCAAAAGTGTGCTTTGTGGGGTTGGTTCAGCCATCACAGCCAGCTGCTGAAACATGTTCTTGGAATTTATTAACCTAATCATTCCCGAGTTGATTTAACCCTCTATTGACCTATAAGACTCAAACAAAACCAGCAGTTTAGTCCCTGATGAAGGGGGAAGCTTGTAGCCCCGGAAATATGCCGTCTTCAGACCTCTGTACTTGGGACTCCTCTGGCACTCTCGTTCTGCCTACACCTTGTACTAATCTTGTGACAGGAGGGTGGAGGAAACACATTCACCCTTCTGTCTATTTAGTGTATATGATTAAATATACTTTGACTCCTATACCTTTGGTGTGGAGCTGTTGTTCCTCCTACCCCTTTCTGTTGTTCCTCCTACCCCTTTCTGTTGTTCCTCCTACCCCTTTCTGTTGTTCCTCCTACCCCTTTCTGTTGTTCCTCCTACCCCTTTCTGTTGTTCCTCCTACCCCTTTCTGTTGTTCCTCCTACCCCTTTCTGTTGTTCCTCCTACCCCTTTCTGTTGTTCCTCCTACCCCTTTCTGTTGTTCCTCCTACCCCTTTCTGTTGTTCCTCCTACCCCTTTCTGTTGTTCCTCCTACCCCTTTCTGTTGTTCCTCCTACCCCTTTCTGTTGTTCCTCCTACCCCTTTCTGTTGTTCCTCCTACCCCTTTCTGTTGTTCCTCCTACCCCTTTCTGTTGTTCCTCCTACCCCTTTCTGTTGTTCCTCCTACCCCTTTCTGTTGTTCCTCCTACCCCTTTCTGTTGTTCACCTGAGCTCCCTTTCAGGTCCATTCCTGTTAAAGAGCTGATTTTTCAGAATCATTGCGCTCCATAGTATGGACTTGCCTTTGCTTAGAGAAACCACTTTTTGATCTAGTGTCTGCCTACCTAGATCTCCCAGGATCACAAGCCTGGCTGAAGTGCTTTGCAGATCGTTTGTCATGAAAGGCAGTACATATATGTGTTTTTCATGTATGCATTCAGGTGTTTGTTTGGAGCTCCGCTTATAACTTTGGTGTTGAAATGGTGAGACGTGAAAAGTTTTCAAACTTTTGCACACTTTTACTACTAACCCCAAGTACCAGATGTCATGGGGTTTAAAGGATGCTGTGTGCTCACATACATTCTGCCAGTATCTGGGAAAGACGTGGCTGGGCCTATCTATCCTCCTGTCCATTCTGCATGCTATGTGGCAAACAGTATTATTTTGTAATATTTTCTTCTTTTTTTGTTCTATATACTCACATTGGAAGATTGTGCCTTGCAGAAATCTCCATGCTGCCATGGCTGACATTACCTTTTTTCCCACATTTTGTTAAGCTGCATACACTTGCAAATGTGGATGGTGTATGTGATAACAAGAATTCAGTCTAGTTCAAACTCGGTAAGGGAAACCTGTGTGGAGAGAAATACGAGGGTGCCTGGAAATGCTTGGTACTTGGCTGCCTCTGGCTTCAAATTTTTAAAAAGCCTCACCTTTGCTAATCAAGGTAAAGTGCACCCCCTAACACCTTAAACATCTGCTGCTGCTCCTTCCTCCAGTGCTGCTGCCACCAATATGCCTGGTGTATTGGCTGGGGATAGAGCTCAGAGAGTGGCGACAACACACAGTTCTCAGGCCTAAAAATTGACCACTAGGCCCAAGCATTGCATTATGGGGGGAGTTATCATGCTCCCCCACAACCATAAGCACAGGGTCATTTGCAAGGGCAGCCACAGAAAAGGGAGCAGTTGACAGCCCTGGAGGAGTATAAGGTGGTTTTGGGGTGCTCTACACCTTAGTGTCACTTTTCCCTGAATGTAAAAAGGTTTCCTTAAGAGCATCTACGCTTATCCAATCAAACGCCTGATCCACAGATGTGTTCCTAGGCCTTGATTTAAAAAGTATTAAAGTCGTCCTGAGAGCCAGGCAGTTGGCATTTTTAGATGATCAGTGGTGGCAGACTACCTATTTCTCTCATGCATGATTTTTTTTTTTTTTTAAGGCTGGAAATATTACTAGAATGTTTCCAAAAATGTCACAGATCCAAAAAAGTATCTGAATGCATTAAAGAGCTCCAAAAAGAACAAAAGTGTAATCATTAAAGACAAAATACCTCTGTGATCTTTTAAAACAAAAATTAAAAAACACCAAATATGTGCTAGCTACTGAATACTTCCCACCGGAATATAGAATGGAAACTGTATCATTAGCTGAATGAAATAATAAATGAATCTGTACTCAGGAATATAAGTCATAGAAAAGTGATGAGTTTCTAATCTAAAATCTCTCATTGGTAAGTTGAAATGTTGCCCAAAAGGCAGCTTCAAACATTTAAGTTTTGTGTTTCCAAGACACAAAAGTACACTATGTGGCCTAAAGTCTGTGAACACCTGGCCATCACACCTATACGAGTGTGTTGAACATCCCATTCCCACACCATGGCCATTAATATAGAGTTGGCCCTCTTTTGTGGCGCTAACATCCACTCCTTCTGGGAAGACTTTCCACAAGATTTTAGAGTGTTTGTGGGAATTTGTCCTATTTGTGAAGTTAGGTACTGATGTTTGATGAGAAGACCTGCTTGCAGTCAGCATTGCAGTTCTTCCCAAATGTGCTATGCAGGCTACTCAAGTTCCTCCACACTCAACTGGTCAGACCATGTCTTTATGGAGCTTGTTTTGTACACAGGGGTACAGTCATGCAGGAACAAACTGTTACCACAAGGCTAGAAGAGCACAATTGTCTAAAATGTCTTTGTATGCTATAGTCTTAATAACACCCTTCAATGGAAGCACCTGAACTCGATCATTTGGACAGAAGTCCACATACTTTTGGCCATACAACATATGTAACGCCAAAGCAATTGCTGAAAAACTACAATGGTAACTACAATGGTTTCCCATATGTTGGGCTGACTTGGATGAGATCAGAAATTTTGTGCGTTGCCAGATAACGCTTCATTTTTTATTTTTTTTCAAATTGGTATTTATTAGCATACTTCTTACACTAGATTCAATACAAATCATTGCTCTACAGAGGATAATTACTTTACAGGTTCTACATGTAGATGAATATGTAGGGGGCAGCTGATCCTCAGTGGCAATGAGCTTCTCCTTTCTCTTCCTCCCTAGATGAGCCAGAAACCAGAGATGCCTGGTGGGCTGAAATTCGACAGGAGATTAAATCTCACGCCAAGGCCCTTGGCTGCCATGCTGTCATTGGTTACAGTGAGTCCACCAGTATTTGGTAAGTGAATCGTAAACAGTCGAGATAGCACAGTTCAGCTAGGCAGGAACCTGAATCTCAAATGTTATCAGGTCCTTATGCGCAGATTACTGAACAAGTAAGCATTCTATAAGGAGAAAGGACTTCTGAGTAAATGCCAGTTTTTGAACGGTTGGTCATTTACCCACCTGTTGGTTTTTAGAGGACCTGTCAGTGAAGCCCCTGACGCACTGAATGCGAAGCCCGGGGACGTGGCTACTCACGGTCCTTCGCTTGCAGTGTGCCTAGGAAAGCCCTCTCCTACGCCCAGCTAGGCGAGAGCTCAAGTAGCTGAGCGTGGCGAGATGAAAAATGTAATCTCTAGCCAATCAGCGCATGCATATGAATCCATGCGTCGGGATGCAAACAGCCAGTCGCATTCCCCCAGACAAAGCGTCTGGTGAGTCCAGAAGGGAAGTCGGAGTGGTATGTTTTCCTTCCAGCCCAAGTTCTGTCTGGCTAGGGACTAATCTGTGTCAGACAACAGCAATGAATTGCACAGGCACTGATTTGTGTCGTCTGACCTGGCATCTCAGTCCAGAAAGTAGATGGTGATCCTGAATAATGCATGAACAAAGATGGTTCTGTGTTTCTGGAGATAAAAGCAGATAAAGGGATAGTCAGGAGGAGTACTGTGATCTCTGTGAAAGGTCATATATAGTTACATTGTATCTGAGGTTGAATAAAGACACAAGTCCATCCAGTCCAACCTATTGCGTTTATGTGTATGGTTCTGCAGGTGTTTGCATGTGTTTGAGTACATGCTATCACCATTGAACATCTTGTACATGAAAATCATGTCCCCCCTTAGTCTACTTACTTCCAGCGTGAACCTATTTAAATGTAGTAACCTTGTCTCATAGCTTTGGTCCTCCATCCCCTTAATTAGTTTGGTTGCACTCCTCTGGACTATATTTCCAGCTCAAGAACATCCATTCTGTAGACTGGTGACCAAAACTGGACCGCATACTCCAGATGAGGCCGAACCAGTGATCTGTAAAGTGGCAAAATTATAGACTTGTCCCTGCAATACATTCCCTTCTTAATACAAGACAGGACTCTACTTGCTTTGTTTACAGCAGCCTGGCACTGCAAGCTATTATTCAGTCTGTGGTCTACAATGACCCCCAAATCTTTTTCCCTTTCCGACTTCCCAAGAGGCATTCCCATAATTGTGTAACCCACTTGCCTATTTTTTAACCCCGAAGTGCATTACTTTACATTTATCGACATTAAACCTCATCTGCCATATAGTTGTCCACTCCCCTATTTTATCCAGGTCCTCCCGTAATGTTATGGTGTCTAAGTCCGTGTCTTATTACCCTCCCGATGTTATATACCTGTAAGTTTTACACTGACACATTACTAAGCATAGTGCACAGGACATGGAAAAGCTACTCTGATGCTAGGTCCATTTTAAGCATCGCACAACCTTTGCTGAGCAACTACCAATCTGAGGGCAGCACTGTTATGGCCTTCCGGAGCTGTGGGGGTTTGTTGGCTCTGGCAGCCTGGCTCTGGCAGCAAAGACTTCATCGGATAAGAAAGTATAGTAGGGAGATTTCAGGCACTGCTGTCTGGGCAGCGAGTGTACAAATAGTCCCAGCAGGCTGACTTTGCACAGGTCTGTGTTATGGTTAAGCAGATGCCCATGTGAGCAAACCTGTACTGAAGAACATAAGCAGGTTGTCATAAGTAAGGATGGGCTCGGGCGTGTTCGCAGCTCCGCGTACCGAGCCTGCCAGGAAGCGCCAATCACAGGTACTGAGACATTTTCTGTCCACAGCTACCGAGATCAGGAAATGTCTCGATGCCTGTGGTTGGCGCTGTCAGCTTCCTGGCGGGCTCGGCACGTGGAGCTGCGAACACGCCCGAGCCCATCCTTAGTCATAAGTAGGCGTTCAGTTGCCTAAAGCAGCATTTCATACAGGTGAAACTCGAATAATTAGAATATCGTGCAAAGTTCATTTATTTCACTAATGCAACTTAAAAGGTGAAACTAATATATGAGAGAGACTCATTACATGCAAAGCAAGATAGTTCAAGCCGTGATTTGTCATAATTGTGATGATTATGGCTTACAGCTCATGAAAACCCCAAGAACCCCAAATCCACAACCTCAAAAAAGTAGATTATTACATGCAATCAATAAAACAAGGATTGTACATAGAACAATATCGGACCTCTGAAAAGTACAAGCATGCATATGTACTCAGTACTTGGTTTGGGCCCCTTTTGCAGCACTTACTGCAATTACTTTTGCACGATATACGAATTATTCGAGTTTCACCTGTATATCTCTCAGTAGAGGTTTCTTTGGGGTGAGGTGGGGTGTGTTCACTTCAAGGGCTGTTATTCTGACTCCCAATTGTTGTATTAGTGATTTGTGCCTTGCTGAGATCTGTATACCTGGCCTGTATAAGCAGATACAATCACAGCGGACAATCCTTATCAGATAGCTGAGCTCACCCAAATACCCTTTTATCCATGAAGATCTTTATTGAATGCAGCAGGTTTCACTGACAACAGGATGTAGCAGATGATTAGAAAGACGGTATTTGCAGGTCAAAATATGGTAATGCTTTTCCCCCCATGTGAGCATATGAACATGTGGCCGTAAGACATGCGGCCATGTTGGTGAAGAAACTCGTATATGAAGAAGAAATGGGAAATTCATCATAAAATGGGAACACAGAAAAAGATGGAGCACTAAACAAAATGACCACAAGATGGCAGCATCTGAGCTAGCAATACTACTGATACTATGCAATGGCCATAAAGTTAACTAGAGACATAGTCAATTCACAATAATCTCAATTTTAACCATGACTATGCATTCTTTTATAATTAGAGGTGCACCAAAATGAAAAAAAATGTTTGTTTTTTTATTTTAACTTTGTAAAAGTTGATTAAAAATATAAATAAAAACTTTTTTTTTAATTTTTTTATTTAATTTTTATTCATTTTTATTAAATATGTTTTATTTTTTACTTTTAGGGGCTTCGGGGAAATATGGGGGTCTAAACAGACCCCTGATATTTTTCTTTTTAAAATAGAAAAAGAGATTGAGGACAGAGTCCTCAATCCTCTTTTTCTGTGTCCCCTGTTATCAATGAACAGGAATCCTCTATACTAAGTGTTCCTGTTCATTGATAACATGAGGACAGAGTATGTTTACTATAACCACAATCATGAATGAACAGGAGGTGATGTAGATCACTTCCCATTCATTCATAATTGAGGATATAGTAACCATACCCTGTCCTCCAATTATTTACAAACACTCAGCGATCACTGAGTGTTTGTACCGCTCTCCTTCCTGTGTCAGTGAGCAAGCGGAGCTCAGCCTGCTGTGACAGCGCTGGCTGTCTCCGGCCACACACCGCTCTCCTAATCTGTGACAGGAGGCTGAGTGGCGGGGGGAGGAGAGATGCTGGCCGCTCACAGCACTCTCCTCCCGCAGCGCTCGGCCGCCTTTGACAGTTTCTCTCCTCCCCACTGGGACACAGAGCACCGCCCAGCGGGAGGAGAGAGAGAACGGATGCACCGCTATATCGGCCAGAAAATTGCACTTTCAGCCAATATATCGGCGCATCCCTAGTTATAATCTCACACAATTGCTGTAACAGCACAGCTAGACGGGCAGAGCCCGCTGTCAATCAGCTAGCTTGGTGGATCTCGCCAGTATTGTCGGGATCCGTCCCGGCTGCGGCACTCTCAGTATATAGCGAGCTGTAGCTCGCTATATACTGAGCTTTGGGTCACCGGAGGAGGTTAGTATATGTCCTCCCGTGACCCTAAAGAGAACTATGGGAGGAAAAGGTTACGCGATAGGTCTCTTTTAAAGTGTTGCAGGAATTACTAGAAGAACAGTACAAAGAGGACAAGTATTTAAAAACTTTTGTTTGAAACTATCACTGGACAAAGGTTCTCTTATGTTTTATCTAAGCTCCACTTTAAGAATGTCCTGCCTTGTTTTAATCTGTAATCCTGCAGAGAAGATTCTCCTGATGTGACATGTGTTGTTCTTCTCTCTCTTTGCAGTGAAGAAGTCTGCATACTCTCGGCCTCGGGTACCGCCACCGTCCTGAACTCTCGCTTCCTGCAGGACGCAGCCAGTGAATCCTGTTTTGAACAAAGGTTGTCCGCCCAACCTGGCTTCTTTGTAGGGTCAGAAAAGGCAGACTTTGATTATTTCTCACACAGCAAGGATAGTGCTCTTTGCCTAGGGTAGGTAGGGCGGATTGCGGCCGGGGCACTTCACTCCTTGTGTCACTAACACCGGCAGAGGTAACGCCTCGCTACATCCAGACCATGCGCAACACTTAAAGGGGCAGTCCCAGACTGCAATAGCAGTCTTTCCACAGGCAAGTGCTGATTTAAATTATGTGCTAATTACATCATGTGAGCTTGAAGGAAATCTGGAATTTTTTTTTCTTATTTTAGTTTTGGGTAAAACATTTTTTTTATCAAAATCAATATAGATGTTTTAAATGGATTAAAATAAAGCAGAATAATATCATCAAAATAACACTTAGGCTGTAAATAAAAATGTCGTTATACAAATATCAAAAATCCTCACTCTACTTTAAAGCCGAACTGCAGACAGACAAATCTAGAATTGGAAGAGAGATACAGGTGTATTTTTATAAGGGCCATATCACCCTCATGATTCTGTCACTGGCAACACCTCGAAAGCAATGGAATTGCTAAGAAGTGCTCACCTTCTTTGACAGCGTTACTCCCTCGCTGGCCAGATGAGTAAGGTGTCGCTCCTTCGGTGGTATGTGACAGTCTGCAGTGTTTTGCCTATCCAGCCAGTATGAAATGACACCTTGGAAACTAGTTTGGCGGGCTGAAGCCCAATGAGTGGAGTACAAAAAAAGGCAGGATTTGAAAAGCTTTATCGCAAGTCAGTCATGTGGCCCAGCTCTCCTATCATTGCGTGTTCTCCATGCTGTGGCCTGCATTCTATGAATGAAGAGGAAAATACAAGTATTTTTGCATTTTAAATACAGCTGATAGCAGTCCCCGCTCTGCTTTATAAAGGGGACCCTTGGGGGTAAATTAACTTTACCTGCTAAAGGATTGTAATTGTAGCACAGCCATATTCTGGACCTCTCTGCAGACTATCCTGTAATTATGCAGTACACCCTGGTCCTAGACACACCTCAGCCTGTGATGGGGTGTATCCAGGATCTGAGCACATTGATAAGGTCTTTCATGTACTGAGCAAGGAAATATGACAGAACTGGGCCTGATAAAGAAAGGGCTGTGGGATCTTGTAGCAAATTATATGTTGCTTACTCTGTAGATTAATATCACATCTTATAGGGACATTTAAAGCTTATAAACCAAATGCAAGGCCACATTTTTAAAAAATATCCCAATATATTTGCACACATGCAATGAGTGGAAATCCTCACATATAATGAGTGGATGTACACAAGATTGTCTGTGACTAAAGCTGTTGGTCACCGATACCTTTTTCATTAAAGGTTGCGAGTTATTTAAACCTTTTGGAGCGCAGTGTGATGGGACTGTCCTTTTAAACATCACAGATTACCTAATTCTAATAGCACGACAATTCTAACCCTGGGTTGGGGGGGCACAGAAAAGTCGCATTATAATCCCATCCCATCACGGCCTGCTTGACACAGTGCGTGTTTATGTTTCACCTTTAATACTTACAGCAACATTGGGCATTTGTAAAATTACGATGGAGAATGTTGGTTGTGCCATGTAAGGAATTGAAAAGTATTCGTCTTGCTTTGAAGTGACTCCATAACTCTCTGATGTATAGGACGGATGAGGTGTCATCGCCAGGCTGCGGGTTTTGTCACATCCCCTATGATGAACTGAATATGCCTTTTCCTGCTCACCTCACCTTCTGCTACAGCTGCCGCAAGCAGAAGGTTCCGGACGTCCTTTTCACCACCATTGATCTTCCCAGTGATGCCCCTGTGGTTGGCAAAGGTTGTCTGATCCAAGCCAGGTACGGACATTCCCTTCTGCTGAAGTTATTGACCTGCTAAGATTACACAGCACACATTTACCAGGGGCAGCCAGATTTTTGCATCTATCTCTAATAATTGACTTTGATTTTTGCAGTTTTTTAGAATTATAGAGTAAAATGTGAAACCAAAACGTATTATTGTGGCTTTGGATAGAGTGCTAAGGGCCTTAAACCCCATCAGGTTTTTATTGCTGCTTCTTATCATGTTTGAGAGATTCAGCCCCCCATATTTGTCCTGGAGACTAATGCCACTAGAAAAGGAAGTGATAAGAATATCCAAAATAAGTGAGGGGAAATCTTACAATGGGGACACTTATTCTGGTCACAACTGTCTTTTGGGGAGATTTCCTCTGTCCATCCTGATCTCCTGAAATCTCTACTGCAGGACGCAGACATGGGGGTTTGAAAAAGGGGTGTTCAGATACCAGTGCCAATACTTGGCATTTTCATGAGAACTACCAGGGTTGCGGCTGGGAACGGGCTCTGGCGCTCCACCACTGTCCTGAAATCACTAGTCTGTTTTAGAAAAAATGTCACATGACACTAAACAAAAATGTATAATAATTGTATCTGTGAGTACTTGGACAAGTATCAGTCCTTGGTCTGGAAAAAATGGTATTGGTGCATCCCTAATAAATAAATAAATATATATATATATATATCTAAAAACATTAAAAGCCCCGTATGCTCCTTAAAAATGCCTCCTAACTTTTCTCTAGTCTAGTTGTGGAGCTCAAAAAGTACCAAGTACCGTACTTGCTATCTGAACATCTCTAATTTGAACTCTTCCATATGCAATCCAAAGCTAAAAACAAATAGTTTGGCTATAAATGCACTGCAAAAAAAGTATAGTATATTTTTAGTGAGCACATGCTTTGGGGTATTATTTAATTAGTTTGATTAATATTTGGCAGTACTTTAACATTCTTCTTCTACCATATTTGTATTATTGTTTAAATGCAGAGATTTCCAGATTAGCCACTAGAAGGAGCTTTGTATTCCACTGTGTTCACTCAAGACTCTTATTGCTATTATTGTTATTGATATTATTATTAGGTGCTGAGATAAGATAGCAGGCAGTGCATTGTTTTCAGTGATTTGGCTAACTCATAGACTGACATCGTGAGAAGTAGCAGTTAAAGGATAGTTGAACTCTCAGTTTATATCAGTTAAATATATTCCAGGTGCATCAAAACAAAAGATGTTCAAAGTCTTATAGTTCATTTTCTTTAGAAAGCCACAGCCTAAGATGAAAACCTGTCCCATGCCATCATGCTGCAGAGAAGGATCCTTGCTTTCTGTGGGGAAGCAGCAAGTCCGAGACACCCCTGCTGATCAGACCTAGAGCTCTCCAATCATGCTTTCTACTGATTGGATGACTACTGGGTAGGACTGCTAAGCTGGAGGCAGATATGGCTGGCCACATTTATATAAAAGGTATTCATTTTCATGGTTCCCTGGGAGGGATGTGGATTACACCACATGTACACATGAGGTTAGTACTGGTCTCACAGGGCAGCTGTGTTCCTCTAGCAATGTCCAGCGGTATATTACCAGCGTAGCTCCATGTCATGTGATTGATTTCGCCACACTGGAAACATTCATGGTGATTTAAAAAAATGAGTATTTAGTGATTCACTGCCTTTTTTTTTTCTTTGGTCCTGGTCAGGTTGTGTCGGTTGAAGAAGAAAGCTCAGGCAGAGGCAAATGCCATGGTCATCAGCAACCTTCTGCCCTTCATGGAGTATGAGCTGCACACACAGCTCATGAACAAGCTCAAGCTGAAGGGGATGAACGCTCTGTTTGGTCTGAGGATACAGATAACTGTTGGGGAGACCATGCTGCTCGGACTGGCTGTAAGTCTTGACCTGTCACTAAAAAGGAGGCGGGAAGAGGGTGGAGCTTTGTAAATCATCAACATCATTAATGAAATCGTATTCAACATTCATTGCTTGGAGAGGGTTGTATCCCTTATTAAAGCCCTTGGGGTTATGATGGAATGTGGGTTACTGAAGTATGACTTTATATTTGTGTGTTGTAGGGGTCCCTGAATAGACCAAGTCCACTTCATACATCTGTCCCAATCAGTTTATATTCCTTGTTAACTGTGTCATGACAAATGTCAGCAAACAATCATCATTTTATTTCCTGCCTGGCCAAATATTTAATTTACAAGGTTGAAAGGATACATTTACATTTAGTTTCTTTGGTGCATTGTATATCATAAACAAATAAAAAGCCTTGATTTCACCCTTTTTTAATTCAGTTTCCATCTCAGTGCGGCTGATCTCCTTTTTCAACCATTTCCTGTCTACATTCACTTGCCCTAGCGCCCACTGCACATCATTTCTCAGGACCTGCTTTCTAATGGTGACAACAGTGGACAATGACTGCGCAATGTGTTGGCACAGCCACCAAGAATGCCTGCTACAGAGTGTCAACGTAGGAACACAATTTGAGTACAGTTGTTGCCCCTTAAAGTGACATTAAACCCTCAGATTTTTTAACATAAAACAATACTGCAATGTGTGCCTTACTGTAAAACATGGCTGTTTCCCTTCTCTTAGCTGCTCTTCCTTTTAAATATGTATCTGTTCTCATGCTTGGAGAGAACTTCCCTTTTCAGCTCAGGGCCTCTTCCTGTAGTGCTGGCTTAGGTTACAGCCTATACACAGACACCGTGTGAGACAAGGCAGTCTGCTGAAAAGGGAAGTTCTCTCCAAGCATGAGAACAGATACATATTTAAAAGGAAGAGGAGCAAAGAGAAGGGAAACCACCATGGATTTCAGTAAGGCACACATTACAGTATTGTTTTATGTTAAAAAATCTGAGGGTTTAATGTCACTTTAACAGGAAGTGCCTGAACAATGACCTTTATGGCAGGATTACCAGGGATTTTTTTAACCAAAGGAGCAGATCTAAAAAGGAGTAAAAATAACTCTTGTATTGACATTACCATGATAACACTTGTAGCAATGTGAGCAATGGTGACATTTTCTGTAATGCTAGACATTTGTTACAATCGGCATTACAGAAAAAACAGCAATTGCAAATCATTTGTGGGGATTCTGACTTCTAAGTGTGGCAGTTATTACGTAATCCAAGAGTTCTTGGATGTTTTGTCCCTATGAATGATAAGTCTGTTCATGTTTTTATAGTTTACAATAAACCAGTTAGTAGGGCTGCCAGTACAAACTGCGATAAAAAGAGTTATAGGGCACCGCTAGATGGCAGTACATTCCCCCTCTGATCCCCAGGACCCCCTAAATTCCGCACACAATATGCATATATTGACTTTGCTTCTAGGCAGGGCCTAGACGGGTCCCCTACTTCTCATTGTGCCATAAAGGTATCTCAGCAACTTATGCATGCACAACCACATGATAGGAATGGAGGGCAACTTAACATTTACACATGACACACACCCTGGGTTTAGAGATCCCAAATGCACAAGGGAGGCATTTTATTGAGCCATGGTATGTTAAGCACCTTGTGGTGTCACTTTTATCATGTCAGTTTATATAGAATTCTGTCTCTATAAATCCTTTTGGGTTTTTTTTAGTCTGCTACTGGAGTATACCTGAGTGCTTTACCCACCCCTGGAGGGATCCAGATTGGCGGCAAGACCCCCAGTGATGTAGCCTACGAGCAACACGTATCACACATTCAGAAGAAGATTAATGAAACAATTGCCAAAAACAGAGAACTGTATGAGATAAACCCTCCGGTATGTGACTGGGTATGACAGGGTTGGATATTGGCATCACTGACATTTTCCAGTAAGGTGTATGCAGTTTTTGTTTCAAGACCAAACAATTGAGCATTAAACACAAGCACACATGGAGAACCTAGAGAATGCTGTGGCTCAGTGGCTAGCACATCTGCTTACTGTACTGTGCTCCTAGCTGCATAGAGTTTGCATGTTGTCCCTGTGCTTGCATGGGTTTCCTCCCACACTCCAAAGACCTGCTGGTAGGGTAATTGGCTCCTGTCTAAATTGGCCCTTGTGGTTGCATATGCATGCATGTCAGACAGGGACCTTAGATTGCCTGTGTAAAAGATTTAAAGCACAAATCCTGTGGAAAAGCTGCCTGCAGGCAGTGGGATTTCCAGCAATTCCTGTCTGGTCTCTGTGCGCTGGGCGACTTGTCTCCTTAATGCCCACTTGTAGTTGAAATTCAGGCAGCTCTGATGTCATCAAGCCAGTGCTGCCTGTGCAGAATGCCAGAGGCTCTCCCAACCCATATTTAACATTGTGCGCCCTGCACAACCCTTCTCTAGGCAGCTGCAGGGACTGATGATGTCAATGGCAATTACTGTTTACAGATTGACTGGGAAAGGTACAGCAAAAAGGAGGGCTGTTATAAAGGCATAGAGGGAAGACACGGGTGAGAAAAACGGGAGGCTGGAGATGAGCTGTCTTGTGATAAATGGAGACCATTTGTGATTTTTTTTTTTTTCTAAAAATACTGACTTGCTTTGTTTTTTTTCTATCGCTAATTCTTATTTTTTTATACATTATATTTTTTTAAGGAAATATTGGATGAGGTAATCGGGTCACCAATCCCAGAGCCACGGCAGAGAACGAGACTGCTGCGGTCACAGTCAGAGAGTTCGGACGAAGTCATTGAGCTGGACCTCTCACATGGGAAGAAGGATGCCTTTGTGCTGGAGGTAAGATTAGAGGTTTTTATTTAAAGGGTGTCCAACAAAGGTATGCATCGTTGAAGAGACGGAGACATTCTTTAAAGAGACACTGTCACCTTGGCAATGCAGGGCAAAGTGACAATGCCTTTGCAAACTCCACTCCCTCCTGACCCTCTTTTACTTACCCTACCTGCACTTTCAATTAGAATTAGTAACAGCAATCGAAAGCACATTTGTATTACATAATTTATTTCTCCTGCCTTTGGTTTTTATTGAGGAACTTGGCATTTTGGCAGACAGGGGACATAAAGTAGATATCAGGGAAAGATTGGTAGCAGAGGAGATCAGTTAGTATATAACGTGAAAGTGAAGGAAAAAAAATGTAAATAACAGGAAAGAAAACCATAAAACAGCAATAAGTTTTCCTGGCACACTCACAAGCCAGCATGTAAAAAAAACTTGTCTCACCACTAGGGTTAAAAACAGAGGTTTAGATACACGTCTTCTGCAGAAAATGTGAAAGCCGCGCCAAGGCACCTCTTATAGTGCGGTCCTAACTCTAAACTATGAGAGTCTCCATCTTGGAGAACATGGGTCAGAAGATAAAATTGGGTGCAGGTTTGTCAGGAGGAAGCCCAACCTCCCTTAAAGGCACAGGGACGCACAAGGGATCCCGCACATCCAATTGGCAGCTGAGACCCCCCATTCGTCACTGCACCAAATCAGTCAAGCAAAACAAATGACAAATGCACTCATCAATTCGTCACCAGCTTTACAGCAAGGTGCACATGGAATGGGCTTTAAACAATAAAACAGCAATTTCTTCCATCTGCAGACAGTGGTCTGCAGATGGAAGATAGATACCAGGATAGTGTCAATGTGAAAGTGAAGAAAAAAATTTAAATAACAGGAAAGAAAACCAGTGAAGAAATATCTCCCTCCAAGATCCCTCCTCTGAAAAAGGAATATACTTTTATTTGATCATTTAGCTTGCCTTTTATCTTTAAAAGAGAACCATGGGGTAAGGGTTGTTCTGCATAGTTCTCTTTAGGGTCACAGGAGGACATATACTAACCTCCTCCCATGACCCAAAGCTCCGTATACTGCGGGCTATTGCCCGCGATATACTGAGAGCTCCTGACAATCTAAATGAATTAAAAAACCATGGAAAAGTTGTATTCTATCCATCGCACACCTTACAGACTTGCAAAGTTCATTCAACGTGTTGTAGTGAATGGGGGGATGGTGCTACCATGTAATCACAAGCTGACATTTTTCCCCCACTTTTCTGGGAAGGCTTTTCACATGATCTTGGAGTGTCTGTGGGAATTTGTGCCCATTGGTGAGGTCAGGTACTGATGTTGGATGAGAAGACAATTGGTGTTCCAGTTCATCCCAGAGGTGTTCAGTACGGTTGAGGTTAGGGCTCTGTGAAGGCCAGTTGAGTTCCTCCTCACCAAACTGGTCACACTGTGTCTTTTATAAAGATTGTTTTGTACACAGGGGAACAGTCAGCCTGGAACAGAAAAGGACCTTCACCTAACTGTTACCACAAGGTTGGAATTGCACATACTTTCGGCCATATAGCGTAGGCGTGATGGTCATCTGTCCGCAATGGTTTAGTCAGAGGATGTATAGAGTTGTGTAATTCTTGCCAGCGTTATATGATTCATATTGCTGACCCTGCAGTGACTGTTTTATGCTGTCGCCTGCAGGACACCACTGCTGTTTCTTATATACATATATGTTTACCGAAAGTTTCAATAAATAGATTTACAAAAAACTTTATAAGCTTCTGTTACAAGGCAGAGAAAAGTTTGCTCATGACCTAGAGTTTTGTGTATTCTTCTCTTCAGATTGATGACACCGACGCAGTGGAAGATATACATTCGCTCCTTACAGATGTGCCGCCCCCTCCAGGTAAAACATTTGTCGATCCAGCCAAAATCAATCTATTTGTTTTGAATAGAGTAGGGCAGATTTGGGTTGGAGAGGGATTATCCTAGCGCACTGCTGTGGCCATGACAAGCTGAACCTGGATTTTATCACGCCTACGGAACTGAATGTGCTGTGTATTCACATTGAGATTCCACTAGAGGGAACATTATTAAGTACTTCTCTATATTGGCATGTGCAGTCATAAGATCAGAGATTTCAGCAGAGGTAATATATAATGAGCCCTCTAGTGGATGCTTTGTAGAAGCACATAGACAGATTTGACCAGTGACAATAGCAACTGAAACCCAAATGAGTTAGCCACAGCCATGCAGTGTGTTGAAAGAGATCTCACTGGGTTCTTGGATAGCATTAATGATCTGGGAGATGAAACAAGCAAAAACTGAATATGTTTCTGTTTATGAAGAGGACAAGGCCCCTGATTAACCCCCATGTGCTCTTTGTAGGGTTTTATAGCTGCAACACAGAGATTATGCCTGGGATCAACAACTGGACCTCAGATATACAGGTGATTCTCTTCTTATTCTGATTTGTCTTTCTTGATTTATTGTCAGTACTGGGCTGGATACATTATGAATGCCACTGTCGTGTCTGGAATGTACACTCATGTTTAGAGTGTAACGTCAGGGTTGTGGAAGAACATCCCAGTCCCATTGTAAGAAGTTTTGGCACCCAAGGTGAAAAGGCCAAAATGCACCCCCCTTTCATGAGCTCTGAACTTCTTTAGCGGCATAGGTTGCAGGTTCGGCCGTTTTGTGCACCCCTCCTGCTAAGGCACCCAATAAAGCACATCCTCAGCCCAGCCCTGGTTGTAAAGATATTAGCAAACTTCATTGCAGGTTCATTCCTTTCTCTATTATTTTGTGTTTACCTCACCAAGTCTTTTCTCCAACCGATATCAAAATGGGAGGGTCAGCTTGTTAGCTTTTCCTTGTCACCGACTGATCTCAGTGTAAGGAGAACTGCAGTGTTTGCATCTTAAGGGCAGGTTTAAACTTAATTATTTTATCTAAAATTGAGCTGCTGTTGCTGGAAATGCCTTTAAATTTAATTGTAGCTCAGTTCAGTCTTCTGGGAAAACCTGAGAGCCAATCACTCAATAAGGAAGTTACATAACTGAGGGATTGCTGTACACGTACAGTCTACGGGACACCACCAAGTTGCTAAATTGCAAGGCTATGAGATTTGAAATTTGTGACATTGTTAAAAAATCACAGCGGTAGCAGATTGAAATGGAAAGGTAATATGTTATAACATTGAATTTAAAAAAATGTATTGTATAATAAATAGAATATTTTAGTGAGTGTGGAATTTCTCTTTAAAAGACTAACACCTAAAGGGAAAGAGGAAAGGAGGTGAGAGAGAAGGAAGGATGATACTATTTATATAATTAAAGTCCTCTATTGGAGTGATTTGAAATATTATGCTCTTTTTCTTTTTTTTCTCCTATGTGAAATTTTTGGACCGTGTGGAAAAAGTTAATAAAGATTTTTAAATAAAATTAAAAAAAAAAAGACTAACACTTATATTAACGCTTTATTATCTTTTTTTAAGATGTTCACCTCAGTCAGGGTTGTCCGAACCAACAACATGAACCTGACCAACCAAACCCTGAACAAGAATTTTAACGATATGTGTGAGAATCTCTTAAAGGTGATGTCCTTACTCAATTTCTCACTCATTCTGCTGTACCCCCCAAGTTCCTTCTCTTCTCCTTTCCCTGTGTCTTACCCGTTGTCTTTTTCTCTCTCTTTTTCATGTTTCTCTTTCTTTCTCTCTATTTCATACCTTTCCAATCACTACGTTGTAAAGCATTTTTACCTCCATACCTCACATAACACTGTGTGTCAATCTTCCCCTCTGCAGAGCCTGTATTTCAAATTGCGTTCAATGATTCCCTGCTGCCTGTGCCATGTCAATTTTACGGTTGCAGTTCCTGAAGATGAAGCAATACAGGTACGGAGGTTTATTTTTATTCTGACAGATTATCTATGTGCTGTGTGACCCTCAGTACACATACAGTAATCGCTCTTTTCCTCGTTTTTTCTTCTTATCTTGATGATGCAGATCGCAGTCACCGCTGTTGCTATCACATTTGACAAACAAAATGCGTTACAGGCCCCAAAGAGCAAGCTGGAGCGGGCTCAAACTCGCGGTAAGCAGCTGCTGGAAGGTCATACTAATTAGTAGAGCACCTAGTGTACTGTAACCCTTAGCATCAAAATGTTAGCATTTTATTGTGAGCAAACTCAGACATCCCATATGTCAATAATTGTTCTTAATCGGACAATTGCACTATTTTACTATTGTGGAATATACACGTATACTGAAAATTAGCACCTGTTCTTGTGTCATTTGCACACATAAACAGCAGGATATTCTCTGGGTAACTGCAAGTGCAGTGATGATCTTCACAGTAAGAAACTGAAATTAAAGCCATATCTCTGGGCAAAACATGGACCCCTTTACCACCCCATCTCCAGCCAATCCTTTATATTTTTTCCACCTTACCTTGTAATACCGGATATACTCACCATCCAGAACCATCATTGGCGCTGTTTCCGGGTGCAGGGACCTCCAATCCAGTCAGTCGCCAACAGTCCCCTTGCGCTGACTTCACTGCAGCAGACTCCTTCTCTGGATCCTAAGAGGTCACTGCCACTGGACAGTCAATATGAAGTGTCCATGTCACACAGACAGTGATATGAACACCTGAGAGCCCATTCACACCAGGGCGGTTGCGGATCAGAGCGGTTACTGCGCTGATTTCAGAAGGGAGGTTTTGTCAATTTGTAATTGCGTTTCAGAGCTGAAACGCAATTAAAACCGCGCTAGTCAAGCTGTATGGAAACTACACTGATCAGCACGGCAAAAATAGTGCAGGGAGCAGTTCGGGCGTGGTGCGGTTTCGATCGCGCTGAGCCGAACCGCCCCACTGTGAATGGGGCCTAAAGAAGGACCTTACCTCTTGTACACAAAAGATAATGGAAGACTTGGGACTGGGATCACATTTGGCCTCAATTTTTAAGGTAAGTATAAAGGGCATTTTTTAATGGCAGTGGTTAATTGAGGTAGGGGGACTAAGGGGGAGGCCAGAGATGGGCTTTAACCAAATGGAATATGGTTGCTATGGGTTATTTTGCATGTCACCCATGCTCTTGGTTTTATTAGAAAGTCAGAGTTGTCTGTAAGCCGTGCACCCCTTTGATGTCTTCCCTTCTGTCTTGGTAACTGACTCTCCGCTGACGTTGTTCCTCTTCCAGTTTCCACAGACACAGACGAGCAGCTTCAGTTTTCTCTAGAATTATCATCCGAATCCCCCGGACTGCTGTCCTTCTCCCCGTCCAAAGGTGAGTGTGTACAATGTGTTTCTGTGCTAGATAGGGGACCCCCTTCGGTGCATCTGCTCAGCAGCCCGGAAGCCCTCCCAGCCCAGGGAACAACTGGCAAATTTGTGATATATGTTCTATTATGTCAGTCCTTTTCAATGTGTAGAAATATTTAGTACACTACAACAATATTTTAATATTGTTAAATTATCGTTTAAAAATGCTTTGCCGTTTTTGTTCCACTGGAAAGATTCACCCTTTCTTTTTCATGTGGACACCATTGTCACTGGACAGGAAATAATAGAAATTCGCAAATGTTATAGCTCATTACTGGAAAAGGAGGTGTCGAGAAACCTTTTAATGGGGACAGTTGTTCCAGTGACAACTGTTTTGAGTCATATTCCCTCTTAGATAAAATGGCTATATTAATACTTGGTGAATGGTTCTCTTTAAGCCATCCTATATAACAGTGTTTTTTTTAAATCTTACTCCAGATCTTCAGGAGCGAGTAGGTTCCCCAGCCAACGCTATCCAGCGAGGTAAGATGACCCCGCCGTCCAACCCCTTGTATACTTCGATTTTCTTTTCTTTTCAAGAAGCCAATATTTTACTTCATCAGGAAACATTGTGATGAGCAAGAGACGTCATCCATGTTTTTTTTTTTTTTTTTCTTTGTTCCTGTCTTCTTTTGTCTGTGTGTTTCCAGTCACTGCCGCTGATTACAGTTCCTTTGCAGACAGATGCAGCAGCTGGATAGAGCACATAAAAATGAGGGCTCAGACCATAAGACGCGGATCAATTAAAACAAGTAGGCAGCTGTGTGTTTCTTCATTGTCCTGATTGTCCCAGGCCAACATGTGACACGCCGTGGTGATGGGGAGGGGAGGGCTGTCTAATCGGATCAATCCCACAGAGTGTGAAATTTATTGTATGTAGATATCGGGGACGTGAGCTTTGAAATTGTGTCTTTACGTTCCAGCATCTAAAATTGCAACCTGATTTCTGTGTAATCCTTGATAATATCCACAATCATAAAGTGGGCAGCATTTTAATAGGTTAGGAGAGCTTTTATAATACCAGTTATTTTTTTAAATGGTCTGTCCACCTATAAGTGAACTTAGGTGAAGTCTGTTGGGCAAGTCGCTCACTGGCTGCCTGTATTTGTTGTGGAGTCCAGTAAGGAGAGATTGGTACAATGGTTCCTAGTTCTTGGCCAACATGGGGTTCCATCACTCTCCCTCCCACAGCAGTGCGTTGTGGAGGTCCGTTGTAGTGTCAAAACTAGTAGAACAGCTGCACACCAACTTATATAACAATGCAGTAATGGAGCTGTGTTGTGTAGTTCAGCAGGAGAGAAGTGGACAGGACTAACAACACTGCTTGGTATTTCAGTGCAAAAGAGGCACTGTGTCGTCAGCTCACTAGAGGAAGTTAGGAGCTCACTGGATTTCTGGCAGGTCAGCAGGTATTTTTCTGTATTTGCTATGTTAGTAAAGGGATTAAAAACAGGGAAATGTACATGTATTACAGAGATGTACTAAATGTTTTTTTATTATTTGTCCTGACGCTTTAAGAGCTCATTCTAGGAAGCCTCCAGCTGGCACTGCCAAGAATGGAGGCCACACTCACTGGAAACCACTTTGGAGCCATAATAGTCTGGCAGAGAGGAGGGTGAAGATAGTTTTCCAATAACGGACACAGAGGAGGGAAGGTGATATTTGATAGGGGCAAATGTTTCCAAAGTGGTTCAAAATAGACTTACTTGGTAGGCACTGCCCTTGTGCCACCCCGAAAATGGGACAACTGTGACTAGGAAGTGGCCTCCGAGAATACGTCACCCCTACAGTGCCCCACTAAGGAGGCTTCAGTCAGTCAGATTGCCCCTAAGTGATACATTGCCCATACAATGTCCTACTCTGGTTCCCTGAATAGGCCAGGCCTCTGAATAAACTGGTCCTCTGAGATACAGTAGGAGGCTACAGGCAGTGCTGCATACAGGAGAAAAAGGAAGAGATGAAAGAATTCTTCACAAGTGTCCATTTACCACAAAAATATGTAAATGTTGCGGAAAATAAAACCGGTGGAGGAAAATCTCTCTGTGATCACAATAATCCCAGGTTGCATCACTAGTGAGTTCATGCAGTGCTGGACAAAATCATTCAGTTGCTCTAACTTACAGAAGCATTTCCACACTTAAGGGTCCATTTATAAAGCAGGGCTTATGACCTTACTAAGGCCATACCATTGCACTTGTATAAAGCTTGGCAGTGTGCTTTACAGATGTAATTAGCACCTTGCTTGTTTTTGGACTCATGCATGCGATCAGCCTCTCCCTCTGTCTTTGCAGCGTAATGCAGAAAACACTCCGTTGGACATTGCAGGCTCCATACCACTACCTGAATTTTATGACTGACTGGTAAAATGCGTGCCCAGGGTGGAGTAAACACTGCAGTGTCCATCAGATAGCAGTATCCCCTTTTTTTTTTTTTTTTTTATAAATGGGGGCTTAAACATGGGTCTCATTTTCAGAAACCTTACTGAACATAAGCGAGTTTTGATGTCAGGCAGCATTTCATGGAATTAGGTGGCACGCATTGCCATTAGGTGGTTGCTATCAGTGCAAACAGTGTGTGATGATTGCTGGGATATGTGTCCTTGGTATCAATTCTTGCCACGTACACCATCCTCTACGATTGTGCAGAGTGGGAAGTCTAACATGACAATGTAACCAGGCAAAATTTAGAGGGGAGAAATAAAACCGCGCAATCTACGGTACAATTTTCACACTCTCCCAAATCTGATGATCAATTGTTCCAGCTCATGATTGTTTCCAAATCTCTGCGTGCTTTCCATGCTCCTGCTGGTCGCCTTTTTTTCTTTATTCAGCTTTATTTTCCTTCATTTTGCTAAGCTCATTCACAAATTCTTTTTGCAGGAATGTCACTGTTCCGAGTCGCCATCCTTCCGCCTGCGCTCGCATGTGCTGCATGACTGTCCTTCATCTAAACATGTTTCTTTTATCTCCATCTGTGCCTGGCTTCCCAAGGCTGAGGTTCATCCTGTATGCCACCACCCAGTTAATGCCAATCAACCAATGAGACCACTTCCTCTCGTCCTTCAGACTGTCCTGTCAGCTTACTGTTTGCCCATTGCCTGTATCTCACCAGCTTCTCTTTCTTCTCTTCCAGTCACATCGATGGAGAAGTCCAGTCCACTGGGTGATGGTCAGCTGAGACACAAGTCTAGCTTTGCTTTTGGAGGCCCAACAGTGACCGTTGTCAAGATGACCCCGCTATCCTTTATACCGGGAGCCAAAATAACCAAATACCTGGGAATTATCAACATGTTTTTCATAAGAGAGACCACATCTTTGCGGGAGGTAAGACGAAAATCTGAGAATGAATGCAAATGGGATTCTAGACACATATCTTCAAAATAATAGCAAAGGCACCTATAGAAATGTTTAGTAATGATAATCTACAAACGGATACACTATATTGACCAATCACGCTTCTCTGGCAATCCGATGGACGTGTCTGGGTTTGGTGGTTGCCAGAACGGTACTTGCCTGACTGCATTGTGCCAAGTGTAAAGTTTGGTGGAGGGGGGATTATGGTGAGGGGTTGTTTTTCAGGGGTTGGGTTTGGCCCCTTAGTTCCAGTGAAGGGAACACTTAAAGCATCAGCATACCAAGACATCTTGGACAATTTCATGCTCCCAACTTTGTGGGAACAGTTTGGGGAGGGCCCCTTCCTGTTCCAACATGACTGCGCACCAGTGCACAAAGCAAGGTCCATAAAGACATGGATGAGCGAGTTTGGGGTGGAGGAACTTGACTGGCCGCACAGAGTCCTGACCTCAACCCGATAGATCACCTTTGGGATGAATTAGAGCGGAGACTGCGAGCCCGGCCTTCTCCTCCAACATCAGTACCTGACCTCACAAATGGTCCAACATTCCCATAGACACACTCCTAAACCTTGTGGACGCCTTCCCAGAAGAGTTGAAGCTGTTATATCTGCAAAGGGCGGAGCCAACTCAATATTGAACCCTGCGGACTAAGACTGGGATGCCATTAAAGTTGATGTGCGTGTAAAGGCCGACGTCCCAATACTTTTGGCAATATAGTGTACCCATAGATAATTGCAGGCTTTTTATTTTTTTGTATATCTTATTTCTCTTTTCTTCCCCAGTCATGACAGTGGCCATGTTAACTAAGGGCAGATTGCTAGGTATCTCTTTACTTCCTGGAACTCTGGCACATGTGACTTTGCATATCATCTCAGGGGAGTAAAATGCCTTTCCCTGAGATCTCATGAGATTACAGATGAGATTTGCCAGCAATGCTTTGCTGATGTAACCTTCCCAGGATGCAATGCTTGGGAACATTACATCATTTCATGCCAAAGCGGACCAGAAAGTAAAAAAAGAAATTGTAAGTAAAATAAAAATGTTTGTTTGATTAATTAATGTAAGATGATTTCATAGCAGCATGCAGAGCTATATGCTGATGTGATTTTTAGTCAAAGGGGGTAAAGGTTTGCTTTAACATTGCCCTGCATGAAAGCTTTATATGGCCCAATTCTTGCCCAACCTTGAAACTAGAAGAGATCAAGATGGCTGTAGCCATCCTTATAAACAATAAAAGGTTTGTGGTCTGCTGTGCCACAAGAATTCTTAGAAGAACAGCAAGCATGCTTGTGACTTTAAATGGAACTACTCAAACAGTCATTAACCTGTTCCCACCCGTAGTCTGTAGATTAACATGCTTAGACACTGTGCCCCATGCCTGGAGAACGTGTTTAGAACTAGGTTCACACCAGTAATCGGGAACCAATCAGCATGGGTTCCGTTCCTGTGATCACATGGCAAACCTGCTGGCTGCAGCTGTCACTGTGCAATACTGTATGTAAAAATGAATGTCAAATGGGACTGCCCTTATGGCCCAGGAGCGCGAATTGGTCGCAGCCTTAGTTCGCGCTGTGAGGGAAACGCTTAAACTTGAGGAGGCTCCGAACGCTTCGGCGCTCCCGCCGGTTCCTTTTGGAATTTGTAATTGGTCTTTAGTTTTTTTGTGCCTAGCGTCCTTCTCCTGCAGGTGGCGATATTACCCTACAGTACATGATCTCCGATCTGTTCCCTGTGTCCTTCAATGAACGGAGAGAAAAGGATTTTACGGTGAGTACCAAAATCCTATTTTTTAGTTCTAGGAACTCTGAGGAAAAATGAGCTCCTCTCTTGTGAGGTGAATGTAGAAAGTGCTATTCAGCAATTACACAGCGGCTGTGGTTGTGTGCTGTGCAGGTTTAAAGTAAAACCCCCCAATATGTTTAGTGTGTTCCTATTCCCACAGCATAAAGGAAAATAATTAAAAGCAAATATTTATTCCCTTTTAGACGTGAAGTCTTTGGCCAGGCTGCAAGCTGCTCTCTACAATTTCAGGGTGACGGGAAACTCTGACGTCCGCACACCATTCTGCTTCAGAATGGCATCTTTTTTTCGTATTCCTTTAGCATGACATGTGAATGCAACGTTCCGGAGCATCACAGGACCCCATCTTCAGGTAAGGTGTCAGAAACTTTGCCTGACAAAGGGGTCCTGTGAGGCTCCGAAACGTTGCATTCACATTTAATGCTAAAGGAATACGAGTAAACATGACATTTCCGAAGTAGAATGGTGTGCAGATAACATATCTTCTAGAGTGTACGCTGCCATCCACCAGTTGTTCCAGCACCCGTTGGATTCTGGGGTACATCGGTACGGTGTGCGAAGGGGATATTACAAAGAAAACTCTAGAAAGACTAGGGACACACTGATTCGCCTCTCATTAACATGCAATGCTTCTCAATACTTAAAGGAGAACTATGAGGTGAGTGCTTTTCACTCACCTCATAGTTCTAGCTTTTCTTCCCAACACTAAAAGTTCCTGATGCGTGCACCTTGGCATGCTGATCTGAAAACATAAGCAAGTAATTTGGTAAATCAAATGAATTAACTAACCTTACTCTCAGTGCCTTCCGGGGAACTCTTGTAGGTAGACTGCAGGTAGGTAGCACCAATGTCATCAGTGGGCTGGCTGAGAACGTAGAAGACAAGCCGGCCACCGATAATGTCTGTGATTGAAATTGGCAGCGCCAAAGAAGAGAAACATTAGCTTGTGGCAACATACTATCCAAGGAAGGAAGTAGTTATCATTAGATCTGTTTATTTTGCTACAATAAGCACATTAGTGTTGATGGTTTCATATGAGGGAGTAAATAGGGGAACGGTCTGCTGTCCTCTTATACAAGTTGCTTTAATCAATGACATTGAACCATTTGTTGTGCTTAATCCAGGAAGGCGGAGTCAGCGGATTCCTCCACGCCTTCATCTGTGAAGTTTTCGCCATGGTCCGTGCGCACGTAGCAGCTCTAGGAGGTAACGCTGTTGTGTCATACATCCTGAAGCAGTGTGTGTTCATGGAGAATGCAAACAAGAACCAGGTAAAAAGCCTTTCCCATGGTAGAGAGATCATATTTTGATAATAGAGAAACATCAGTATAATTGTATGTGTTGTATCAAGTCATTCTTCATTCACAGCTCAGCCATTGTTAGCATTTTGCCGTCCTCTATTTCTATATTATGACTGGATGTCACAGGTGCTGTACAGGGGTTCACAAGAAACTAACAAAAATAAAACCTAGCCGTAGCCCGGCACTAACTTAAATATAGGTCCTTACTAACAGGCTGAGCAGGCCTACTGCTTGTCAGCCTCCACATACACCCTTTGCAAGTTTTCGCCAACCTTGCAGCTCTCTGACAGGACTTGTCTGATACCCAGGCCGAGAGCTCTGACTACAGGTTCCAGGATATGCATAGCATCACAATCTAATAAAAATGAAACAAAAATTATTTTATATGGACACAATCGGAAATGAGAGGAGGACCCAAACAACCTCGCCTGAGAACAAGTGTCCCTATTGGTAGATTTCCCTTCACCTTTTATTCGAGTGACAACTGTCAGATTTAGGATCTTACTTTCTCTCTGGAGGAAGGTGAGGTGGTCATAAGCTTTCCACACCCAAGTATTTCCCCAGGGCTCCAGTCAGACAGCAGAATGGATGGGGGTTGTTCTTTCAAGAGACCTGGCAGAGTCCACTTTAATTGAGCATTATTTGGGGCTGATCCTGCCAACATTTTGAGTTGCTTGCACAGTAACAAACTTCCATTTGCCTCTTTTATAGGCTCAGTGTCTCATCAATGTTAGCGGTGACGCCGTCATCTTTACACGAGAATCGGAGTCCGATGCAGCACCGTCTGCTTCCCAGCAGGTTGGGATGGCCACTACAAACCAGACAGCAGTGGACGGAACATGATAGCCAATGAAGAAGGAGGCTAAGCCTGCCTGCAAGACGCACAATATTGCCAAATTATCATCCAATCAGATTGTGATCGGCTTTCTGTCACTTTTCACAATCTGAAAATTCACCTAGGTACATCCACATCTGTAGAATGCAGCTATATAATCGCAATAATTTTCTGCATGTGAGCGCCTGGAACTTGTCGTATAACTTGCACCAAAATTGGAACTGGAAGCCCTGATCTCACCTGCCCGCAGTCACGGCTTTGAAGGCATGTAGAGGCATGAGAGAGAGGCACAGATTGTGGGGAAGAACAAACCTGAACTGTGATTGCATAATATTGTGTCCGGTAACTATATTTATTCCATAGCTGTCGCATTCAGCCCAGAAAATCTGCCGTAACCCTTGCTATTGTGCTGCGGTCTGCTACAGTGGTTACAATGGGAGTCATACACCATCATTTCATTTAAGGCTGAGCTGTGATGAATTCCACCACTACTATTCAAACAGCTAATATACAAGAGATAAGAGGAGCTGTGGTGTCCACATTCAGCACATATTATATGTTAAGCCCAGTTGAAGTCTCCCAGATAATTCTCTGTTGTCTTGGACCCCGCATGTTATGATTTGTGATTGATTGTTGCTTGCCAATACTTTTAAATACCCTATAATAATGGTGCTACTTGCATTCACTCTCCAGTGCTCTGTGCTGACAGAGCTGAGTAATAGCCACACCCCTCATCACAAGTGTCCTCACACAGACTCCTATTGCAGAGAAGAGGAGGGTTGTTTCTGACCAGAAAGGGTTCATGCCTGAAAAGGTCTATATTACTGAATGCTCAATACCGAGTGTGCTGGTTCTTACTGGTGCCTATTGGACAGCAAAGTCATATTTAGACTCCCGACACAACTGCTGGGAAGTGAAGATCAGACTAGGAAAATGGGGGTTTTAGTACAATGTCTGTCTTTTTTCATATCTATTTCTATTTCTGTGTCTTCAGTTGGGCTTTAGGACTCTGCACACTCCTGTATGCTAAAACATATCTGCAATGTGGCCAAATGTATTCGGACCTTTGTCTGTCCAACACCTTATTCTGTATCCAGGGCTCCTAATATAGAATCAGTCTTCCCTTCACTACTGTAACAGCCTCCCCCCTTCTGGGAATGATCCACTAGATGCTGGGACTTGGTTGACTTTGCACCGATGTAGGGCAGTGAGGCTTGCTGTCATTTCCAGTTCATTCCAGGGAGTATCAGCTGGGGGTGAGGTGAGACTGTTAGTTATGTTCTTCCACTCTTGTCTCAGCAAATGGCTGGGGAGAGAAGATTGTCAAGCTGTCATGTTGGACAGATACCGTTTGTTGTGCTGGTTTGGGGGCTCTGGATCAAGTTAAAAATAGTAACAGATTGATGTCTTGTTTCTCATAAATTTCGGCTGCTATTGATATACAACTCTTTGTTGGACAGATGACATTTCATGACGGTACCACGTTGCCAGTCCCTAAACTATCAACTACCACTTATTCCTCTCCCGAAAATGTATTTAGTTATTTCCATGAATAGAGATTTGGGTTTCACTATATTACACTGTATACTCCAGGTGATCCCTCTCTGCCCCCTCCTTACACTAGCTGCAAATACTGAACTGTAACTAATAGTTCTATCAGTACCGTACGGCTGAGATGCAACATCGCTGATTCTGCAAAGTTCTAGTAATGTTAGTGTTGGGAGCTCAGCCAGGCACGATTTACGTCTAAAACAACCACACAAAATAACCTTGGCGTAATTACAGAAACAGCAACATTTCCTATGAAGAACACAGAGCCTCAGTGGCTGGAACAGGTATACACATGAGAAAATGTAAAACATTCGGCACCGTGCATGTGTATGGCCATTCCTCATCCGTAGCATGTCACAGCCGGGCAGAACTGAATCTGCAATAAATAGAAAATTCTGCTCCTGGGACCCAACAGGAGTTTTCCTCCCTGTGTTCATGTGTCAGTGGGTTATGGTCATGTGATGGCGAGGGGCCCAGATGCAGCACATCCCATGGTGACTCCCAGTCATAAAGTACGGTGGGTTAGAGACCCAAACCTTTTCAGCTGCCTGGTTTAAAACATGAGTTTTTTTCCATATTGTCAGCCTCTCTCAGACTTAAACTGACACACAGTAGTTAGGAAGTTATATTAACAGATAGGAATGCACCGAAATTGCATCCAAAAAATGGTAATTTGGGCAAAATGCTGAAAGTACCATCTTTTGGCTGAAATTGCGGTGCATCCATAGTTTCTCTCCTCCCCGCTGCTGACACAGAGCAGCGTCCAGCAGGGAGGAGAGAAACTGTCAGGAGGCCGAGTAGGGCAGGGAGGAGAGGAGAGCGATGTGAGCCGCGATGTCACGGGAGGCCAAGCTCTCCTCCTGCACTGCCCAGCTCAGCCTCTTGTAACAGCTGAGGATGGAGAGTGTGTGGGCAGAGACAGCTGTCACAGGAGGCCGTGCTAGGGGTGAGAGGGAGGAGTCATCTGTCAAATGAGACCGAGCTCTCCTTCCACACCGCCGGCTCAGCCTCCTGTAACAGCTGAGGATGCAGAGGGGTGTGTGGGTGGAGACAAATGTCACAGGAGGCTGGGCCAGTGGTGAGGGGGAGGAGTCAACTGTCAAATGAGACCAAACTCTCCCCCTGCACTGTTGGTTCAGCCTCCTGTGACAGCTGAGAGAGTCAGGATGGAGAGCGGTATACAAACACTCAGTGATCGCTGACTGCTTGTAAATAATTAAGGACATATATTTACTGTGTCCTCAATTATGAATGAACAGGAAGTGTTCTACATCACTTCCTGTTCATTCCTGATTGTGGACATCGTAAACATACTATCTGCACAAGTTATTAATTAACAGGAACACTCAGTATAGAGGATTCCTGATCATTGAGAACGGGCTGCCAAAAAAGAGATTGAGGACTCTGTGTCCGCAATCTCTTTTTCTATTTTAAAAGAGAAATATCAGGGGTCTGTTTAGACATCTGGTATTTCCCCCCCGACAGTAAAGTTAAAAAATAGAAATATTTAATAAAAAAATAAATAAAATTAAGTTTAAAAAAAATTAAATATTTTTTATAAAAAGGATAGGAAATACATTTATTTTCTATTTTCGGCCTGACAATTTTTTTTATTTTCGGTTTCGGTCATAAAATTTCAATGCGGTGCACCTCTATTAACAGAACATCTTGTCATTTGTTACGATGTCACTGGGCCATCATCTCACTTCATTACAGAAACCCCAACATTGATCGTAGATGGGGGTTCTGGGTATGCAGGAAGCTCAGCGGACAGCAATGTGTACAAATATTCCACTGGCCACGGTATGGACGGATCTAACACAGGATATAACAGTATAGTAAACCTCAGGATATTTCTCTGACGGGATCTGCTGTAGGGATTTGTAACCAACACAAGAGGATTTTCACCAACAGCAGCGGAGTTCTGCTGTTCTGTATGACACGTGTGTGACGTGAAGGGTTAATAAGATGTGAGATCTGTCGGACATCTGTGCAAAGAATTGAAATCTATATTTTTGATACGTTATTCATAGTATTTTATGTTCAGGACATTCTCATTGCACAGAAGACACAAGGAGGAGATGGCGGCAGCCACAGGGAAGGGGGGCGCTCCGAAACTCAAAACTTGAATGTAAATATTTGTATGTGGCAGGTTGTAACATTTCCGGAGTGTATAGAGAGGAATAAACTGCTTTCAATGAGGAAGTTGCATTCGGATTTTCTTCTGTATTTTTTTTTCTTTCAAAATAATTCTATTAACATAGCGTAAGCAGTACAACAAGCAGGGGAATCCAAGGTATAATAACAAAATAAAGAGTGCAGAGCATCAAATACAACTAGAACAAAGCAACACACGCTACAACAGGGGGGTAAAATGTAGTAGCAGATGGGACGCTGGAGAAAGCTCTCAACCCTGGGGGGGATTAAAAAGGTGCCGCAGAGTATGGTAAGTAGTATTAGATCAATGGGAGAGCAAGGCGGCCGGAGGGGCGGAGCCCGCCAGTCACGCTGGGACCACTTCCGTTCCACAACAGTGGACATCCCGGAGTGTCAGCGCTCCCCGCTTGAGTGGCGGCACTGACCCCTGTGGTCCTGTTTATTATATGCACTAATGGAACCTGACCGTATAGATTATTCAATGATTCAAAATGCCTTATTGTCCATGTGTTCACATTGCTGTGTATGTATACACCTGTTACTTTTTTACATTACTTCATGCAGCCTTTTGTATAACCTGAAAATCTCTGAAATAAAGAATTTATAAAAAAGAAAAGGAAGGGACTTGCTGTATTTTTCTTGAAGACGTTTCACTGGACGTCCGACCAGCTTTCTCAATTCAGAATGACTTGTACAAAAAATACTCTGCGAATAAATTTGGTGAATTTCGCTCCAATCCACATAATCTGTAAATCATGACCCGGTGTTGATTGCATTTGCATATTTGGAGTCTAGGAGGTGTTATTAACCTGCCCAGAGAATTTTTTGCACAAGTCATTCTGAATTGAGAAAGCTGGTCGGACGTCCAGTGAAACGTCTTCAAGAAAAATACAGCAAGTTCAGTTGCCTTGACTTATTTTTTACAGATATACCATGACCTGGATGAATGAGAACCTTCACAGACATACGGCAGGAAGGGAGATCAAGAGGCAAGATGTAAAAGAGGACCTCGGGGACAGAGAGAGAGAGAGTAGAGAAAATGAAACTGGAGAGAAGTAAGGAAAGAGAGAAAAAGTGAGAAGGTGGGTCCGGGGGTAACTCAAGGTGGAATGTTACTTGTCTGTAAATTCAGTAATATTATCTAGACACCATGTCCCTATTGAATCTACAAGTATGCACAACGCCTCCATCTCCTTCATACATGGGAAGAGAAGATCAACAATTTGTTCTGTTTTATAATCACATGAGCATCTACCAGAAGAAAGACATTAACCCCTTCATGACTGAGGCCCTTTTTTCC